GGCCGGCCCTCAGATTGTTTTGTCTAACGAGGAGGGGGGGGATACTATAATCAAACCTTTGTGCGTTCGTGAAAGTCTGTATATCGTGAATAAGACAGTTGGCATAGCGTTTCTCCCAATTATACAAGGCTGAACTTCCGGTTATAATGGTACAATGTGTTAGTGGTCTTATGGCCCTTCGAACAATGGAAGGCCAGTTCCATGGAGACATGGCCTGGAACGAATTTTGCATACATGCGGGAGTATTGTAGTGGAGACAGAAGTGTATGGCAAAAGCACGGACAAATTAATGTATCTGCTCACAGTATTCCCGCATGTCGATATATCACCTCGGTGCTGAGCCTGTTTTCCAAGAACGGGTGTACTTCTTGGTCTTGGAGTGGCGATGGTGGGATAGTGGTCTTTGGGGGGATTCGCAATGCTCTTCCGGACGGTTTTTATGGGGAGCTCGGTCTTGGGATTACCGTTGCCAGCCTTCTATACGATATATTAACGGTATAAAACCAATCTTGGCGTTTGATCTATACTTTGGATATCCGGAATTCGTCTGAGCTCTCTTGGCATCGCCGAGAAACTCTCGTCGCGTTTCGATGTCTGAGCCCACGAGATGCGAAGTTCTCGTCGCTTGTGGACATTTGAGCTCAAGAAATGCGGAACTGTCATCGCTTTTGACTTCTGTGCTCTCCTAGCTCCAAAGTCTTGTCGCTTTTGGAGTTGGAGTGGTCTTGGATGGTCTGGGGCTGGTCTGAGAGTGCTTTGTACAGTGGGCAGCGCGCCATGGGATCATCTTGGAGAGCTCCTGGGGTGGTCTTGGCGGGTCTGGCACTGTTCTTTCGCCATCTATGCCAGCGTGTACTTTGGAAAAGCTTTTCACTCACAGGAGGATCGCCGCAGCTTGCGATGTTACTGTTGGCAGGTTTTGCGTCGACAAGATGCTCAAGGGTGCTTGATTGAGCGTTCTTGGACCCTTCTCAGACAACACTAGGCTTCTAAAGAGCAAGGGTTGTATAGCAAAGGCAGCATGCGGCGCTTCGCTGGAAACAGTTTCCCCGCGCGCGCGCGAACCACATTATACATGTTCTACCGTGCCACCCCAACCCCCCCCCCCAACCCCCCCCCAACCCCCCCCTCTCTGGCGCCCAAACTCCTACCCTAGAAGTGCCCTCAATCTCCCTGCCTCGTTCTTCTCCTGGAAGCCGTCCTTGGTACCCCAGTAACCATACCACAATGGGGGCACCCTTTTTTTGGGAGGGTTGGTTACTTTATCAAGGAGCCTTAAACCAAAACAAAGGGGGGGGTAAAGGGTACCACTGCCCTAAACCCTAAACCCTAAATCCTAAACCCTAAACCCTAAACCCTAAACCCTAAACCCTTGGGCTACCAAGCGTCCATGTGCTTGATGATCGAGTTGTTCACAAGGTGCACAAACCTGGCGAGAGCATCTCGGAGCTTGGCATGCTTCCACTCAGCGGGTTTAGGGTTTAGGGTTTAGGGTTTAGGGTTTAGGGTTTAGGGAGCCCCAAATCTTGCACGGCCAAAGCCGCGCAAACCCCATAAGACCTCTAAAAAAACAATATAAACCCTGCACGCCCTACAAACCCTATACACCCTGCAAACCCCGATAAACCCTGTAAACCCATAAACCCTATAAACCCCATAAACCCTCCAACCCCAGAAACCCTGTAATTCCTACAGTAATTCGATGTACCGCGCACCTCACTCCAGCAAGGCAGGAGGGTGGGATAAACCCTAAACCCTAAACCCTGAACCCTAAACCCTGAACCCTGAACCGAAACCCTAAGTAACCCTAAACCCTGAAGCCTACGCCTGCCAACCCCTGCTTGGGCGCACTCGCTGCGGTCCGACAAGGTCTCGTCGTACTTCTGACCGGCGAAACGCAGGTACGGCTGCTTCCTGGGGCTTCGGGGTTTAGGGTTTGCAGTGTTTAGAGCTTCAAGGTCTTTGGGTATAAGTACCCCAGCGAACCCTGGGCAGAAGATCTAGGGTTTAGTTTGGGGTTTGGGGTTTGGGGTTTGGGGCTAAATTAAAATGCTTGCAAGGTCGAGGGTTGAGGGTAGGGGCTTGTTTTAAATGCGAGGCAAGGGCACATTTGCTTAGGGTTGTGGGATTTAGGGGTCGGTGTGTGAGGGCTTTCTGGATCAAAGGTGCATGGCGTGGTTAGTTTTTGTTTCCCGGGCGCCCAGAGCGGCGGAGGGTTTCAGGAAACCTTGAGCCTTCAACCCCAAAACCCTGAACCCCAAAATCACATCTAACAAAAAGCCCTACAAGCCCAGCATGAAAACCCTAAAACCTCCGAAACCCAAAACGAATCTGGCACACTTCCATTGCGCCATCCTTCAGTATCGCTTGAGGGGCCGAGCGCGGTTCTAGGGTTGCAAGGTTTAGGGTTTTGGGCTTCAAGCCCTCCGAGAGTTCAGGTTTTAAGACTTCAGGGTTGAGGGTTTAAGGTCTAGGGTTTAGGGCTTGGGGAGTTGCAAGGGGCAGGGTTTGGTGGGCTTCTGGGCGCTTCTGGGGGGCTTCTACTACAAGCCCCTTACACCCCTACAAAGTAGGGGTGTAAGGGGCTTGTAGTCCTAAACCCTAAACCCTAAACCCTAAACCCTAAACCCTAAACCCTAAACCCTAAACCCTAAACCCTAAACCCTAAACCCTAAACCCTAAACCCTTACGATCCGCAAGAGAGATGCAGGGGCCGCAGCCAGATGTAGACCGTCAGCGGGTTCCAGTCAGTGACGAGGACCTTTCCAGGTGGTCCCTAAACCCTACTTGTTTAGGGTTTAGGGTTTAGGGTTTAGGGTAGGTTCATGAGTACTGGTAAGTAGGGTTAGAAGTACCCGAGAAATTCTTAACGTTAGTTGGCCTACTGATACCCCTACTTGCAATCACCCATGAACCTCGAAGTAGACCCCAAGGCCTACAGCTGAAGCACAAGCAAGGTTCGGAACGAGGAACCCTGAAATTTCATAAAAAGCCAAATCCTCAACCATGTACCCTAAAACCTAGACCCTGACCCTGCAAGGCTCTAAGGACGCCTGAGTTCTAAGGCCTTTCAGACCCGACATACAGTATGAGGTGCTTGGGGGCGAAGAGAGGGGGGGGGAGCGCATTGATAGCCTAATCCCGAGCTAAACTATCAATCCCTCTAAGCCTACCAACTGACCCTAAAGGCATCAGACTCTAAAGGCATAACATTTGTGGAGTTCGGGGCTTAGGCTTGGGAGGGTCTGAGGCGCAGGGTTCAGGGAGGTTTTGGGGGGCGGCCTATCATCACTGGCTTGGGCCAGGCCCCACAAGGCAACAGCCCAAGGATCCGCGCTTCTCGTAGAGAAGAGCATTAGTAGGGGGAGTCGGAGTATCGTGGAGCCGTGGTAGTCTGTGGTGGCTGATGCGGCAGTAGTGGCACATGTTACGATGGAATGAGCAAATCAACGACACTTTTGCCCTAAACCTTAAACCTTAAACCCTAAACCCTGAACCCTGAACCCTGAACCCTAAACCCTAAACCCTAAACTTTTGCTGCTGGCTTGCTTGCCACCCATGGTGCAACGCTTTCCCTTCGGGTGTCCATGAGTAATATAGGGGCCTGAAGAATTATAATAGGGTTTAGGGAGGGTATTATAGTATCATTACAAAGGCCGGAGCTTAAGGGAATACTATGAGTAGTTATTCCGACCCCTATATTAGGCATGCCGACAGGTGAAACAGGCTGGACGCAGGGGCGCTTGCAGCAGTCTGCTGAAATCAGCTGCGCCCGTGTAGTTCCGAAGTTCTCTTACGAACTCAACCGAAGCACAAACCATCCAAAGAGCCGGAAACCCTTACATGCTGTGTGCTGGAAATCCACGAAGTCCTAGCATCATGAACCTCGACCCTGCTAAACTTCGAGTAAGCAAACCCCCCTACACCTCCTCAATGTAAACCCTGGTCATGAACCACCTCCTTAACCCATTGAAGCCTCAGTCCTAAACCCTAAACTCTAGAACCCGACACCAATAAAATCCTAAATCCCTGAAACCCTAGACCCCTGAACCCTAAACCCTAAACCCTAGACCCCTAAACCCTAAACCCTAAACCCTAAACCCTAACCCCTAAACCCTAAACCCTAAACCCTAAACCCTAAACCCTAGAAGGCTTTCACGGCTTCAGCAGCGCACCCAGACGACGGTGGAGCTCGGCAACTGATTGGATATCTACCTCAGGTGCCCCAAGCCGCACTTCCTGCGGGCGGGTTTAAGGGTTTAGGGTTTAGGGTATAGGGTATAGGGTTTAGGGTTTAGAGGGATATCTACCTCAGGTGCCCCAAGCATAGGGCCCTTGTATAGAATCCCT